GGGACAGCAGCAGCAGCCGCCGCGGCGCCGGCACCCAGGCCCCGCCGTTGTCGCCCTCCGGCGGCATGGCCGGCGGCGGCCAGGGCGGCGGGGGCGGCGGCAGCGACAGGGGCGGCGACAGGGGCGCCGGCAGGGGCGGCGCGCACCCTCAGTATGGATATGCCGTGCTGGGCGGGGTCGACCCAGAGACGGCAGACCAAGAGGCAGGGGCGCAGCAGCCAAAGCTGCACCCCCAGCGAAACTTCAAGCCGGGGGACACGTACGATCCAGAGGTGGGTGGGGGGGCAGCCGAGCACATCCCCTTGGCGAAGCCCGGGCCCGTGATGTGCAGCCGAATGACCGCGGGCGGCACGCCTGATGGCCCCGCCGCCGCCGCACGGCGTTGACGCTCCATGCGCGATCGACTAGACCTCTCGTTTGCGCCTGCATGTCAGGCATCCTTGTATGTGCAGCCGGCATCGCCGCGCGTTGCGTCCTCCTGACTCCGCCACTCCCTTCCCCTCGCCCTCAACCCACGCATCCCCCCAAACGCTCCTCCCACCCCAGGACCTCAACCCTTACGGCTCCAGCGAGGCGAGCAGCTTCCTCATCCCCCTGCAGCGCCCCGGCGCCTCGCCCCCATTCACGCCCGAGGTCTCCGCCGCCGAGGCGGCCGCGGGCGTCGACTTCCGCAACACGGCGCTGCTGCGCCACTTTGTCAGCGATAGCGGCCGCCTGCGGCCGCGGCGGCAGACGCGGCTGCCGCGGATGCTCCAGCGGAAGGTCGCCAAGGCGGTCAAGCTGGCGCGCCAGATGGCGCTGATGCCGTTTGAGATGGTCGTGGGCGACGGCGAGGCGGACATGCGCAGCAAGATGGCGGAGTACGAGGCGGCGCGGAGCAGCCACAGGCGGGGGGGCGGCGGCGCGCGGGCGGGCGGCGGCGGCGGCGGCGGCAGGGGCGGCGGGGGCGGCCGAGCGCAGGGTTGACGTACGCAACGTCGGTGTACGGGATCGCCCTTTGCGCTGCGGTGTTGTGTTGCATGGGGCTGTGCTGGCCGCGCCCCCCGCGCGGCCCATGGCGTATCGCCCTGTAATTTGCTCAGCGTTTTGGTGCCATCGGGCGGGTAGAGCGGGCTGCAGGGAGGCGGGGGCGGCTGCTTCGGGTGGCGGGTCGACAATGCTGAGCTCTTGACACTGTCTGGGTTTGCGATGCATTGCATGCTGTTGTCTATCCAAGAAGTGTCGCGCATAAGTTTTTAGCTGCTCGGGACTTTGGCTCATCGGCTCTCGGGCGCGGTGGGCTAGCGCAGCGGCTCGCGCGGCGGACACACTTTGTGGCAGTTCGAGTGCAGCTGCTGGACTTGCCCTACAGTACGCGCTTGGCACGCAGGCTTCCCTGCAGACACGACTCGAATTTAGCTTGGTTTTCGTCACAACGTGGACACTGCGTTCGGCTGTTACAAGCTTGCCAGCTGGGTCAGCCGACCTGCGAGATCAGCCACGAGGGGAACGACCGTGTAGGTCTCATCCGGACTTCGTCCAAAGCATTGCTGCAATAAGATTTTCGTGGCCACAATGGGTGCCTGCTTCTCCTCTGCGCGGGCTACCAGTGGCGATGTGGAACCTGTCAAGGGCGAGCCTTCTGCGAAGAAGACCGCGGCTGTCGACGCGGGGGCAGCGGCTTCCGTGAGCAAGGGCAAGGTGACCGCCGCGCCCCCGCC